ACTATAGGACTTCTTGTTTGAGTAGGAAGATTTTTATATCATGGACAGATTTATAATATTCATTATACCCTTATCATCTCGATTTTTTTTCACAAACCCTTTAAGCCACTATCATTGGGGGTGATAATAAATTATATTTAATTTAATTTTTCTGAATAGTATATATTATTATAAATTTTTAAAATTTGATCGAATTTGAATCATATTTTAGTAATTTAATTTGATTCGATTTATCGATTTTTAAATTTTAATTATTTTTTTATTTTATATATATTATTTTAATAAAAAAATTAATATATTTAAATAAATTTATATACAATAATTATTTAATTTTATTCAAATTTAAAAAAATATAAAAATTAATAAAAATATATAATTTAATTCAATGTGATTTTTTTTATTTTTTACCTATAGTTCAAAATTCAATCCGAATTTAATATAAACATTTTATATCTGAATTTAATCATAATCAAATAAACAAAATTAATCTAAATCAAATCAAACATTATGATTTTGAATTGATTTTGAATTTTTTTTCGCCCCTTAACCACCACTATCCGACTTTTCTTTCTTCCTCAAGCCACCACCACCGATCTAACTCTCTCTTTCCTTCTCACAGCTCTCATGCCTCTCATGACCCACCTGCAATCTCGCAATCCATGACTGCAGTCACCATATAAGCTCTTCCCCTCCCATGACCTCCTTTTCCCTTAACCTCCAATCTCATTTTTTATCCATAAATCTTCCAATTATCTCACACAAATTGTAATCTTATAATACGTAATTTATTTTTTTTAGATACATTAAGACACTTCTAAGTTTTGTTCAAACTAATTTATTTTTTTGAATGATTTTAAAGATGTAATCTTTTATTTCAATTTAATCGAATTCATTTAAGATCACATTTTCGAAATAATTTTCACAAAACTCAAAAATTGATTGATAAGAAAAGAGATTCGTCCCCATAGTGGCTCATGTAAGTTGTGTGATTTTTTTCTCCTTTTTTTTTTTTCTTTTTCATTCTTGTTTTCTTTTTCTCATTTATTACGGTCCCTCTCCCTCTGTATACGTTAAGATGACAAATGAATGATGTCAAACCAATTTGATCATTTCTTCATTAATCTAACCGTATAATTGTCGGCAGCTGAAATTGTTCCATTCCCTTTTAGGCTAGGCTAAATTTCGACCCTTGAAACTTGATCCACATATCAATTTTGGAGTTCGTAGTGTTTGGTATCCATTTCACTTGGGTTTAAATTTTGTACATTAAGAAATTATAAAAATATGTTAATAATTTTATAATTTTATAACAAAATGTTAAACACTTAGTTCAATGATCAACTATCAATTTTAATTTCAAATATTAAAAAATTATAAAATATAAAGTCAAAGATAATACTATAGTTAATTATCATATATTTAAATATATTTCATATTTTAGTACGTATATAATAAATAAAGTTTGTAAAAAAATCATAATTGAATCAAACTTAGTTCATTTAGATAGTGTTGATATCCATTACTCATATTTTTAGAGTTAAAAAAAAAAAGTAGATTTAATAATTCGTGTATTCGTATTATGTAAAATATTGAAATTTGTGTATTTATATTATATTTTATACAAAAATTACAAGTCATAATTTATGTTGACACGAAAAATAAAATTATTAGGTATAATAATAATACATAAATCCAACAACTATTATATGGTAACTCATATGTTTTAATATCATTTAATGTAATTTTTTTTTATCATTTAATAATCATAATATTTTTTCTTTTGATTCAATATTCGAAGTTTAAAAAAAAATTCACTCATATCAACCCATACCACAATTGGAGTTTAACTTTTACGATATGGTTATCAATAAAATAATTATTTTAATAGTTAATATTTGATGTACTGTTAATATCTATAAATTTTATATATTATCAGTGAATTAGATGACATTAATTTATTAACGAATAAATTTTAGTTTTTAAAAGAAATATACAAAAAATTAATATTTTTTTAAAATTTACTAATTGGAGATGTGACATCATTTGATTTATCTCACTGATGAGGTAGTATCATCCGATTCACTAACAGTATATAAAATTTATATATTGATAATGCATCAAACATAATTTTTTTAATTCAAAATTATTGTTAAGCTTTTATAAAATATCAAATACAAAAAATTTCGAATAAATATAAAATTTTTAATACACTTGCAACACCAATTTATAATAAAAATCAGTATAAAACTACACACATAAAAGTGCATTTGATTTGGGAGAATCCACAAATTTTTCTTTGAAATTTTGATGGTGGGTATTTGATTCTCACATTTGGTTCATGGTAATTCGATTATGTGAAAAAATATCAGATTTTTAACAGTATCTAAAGTTTCGAAATTAGAAAACCATTTTTCCTTATGATATTTTAAGATGCAAGGGAAAAGTTGTTTTATTTTCAAATTTGATCTGAATAAAAAAATTATCACATAATCACTACCATTTTGAAAAGCATGTTTGAAAGTGACTGGAACTCAATTATAAGTTTTTTTATTATTATTATTTTGATATATTACTAAAGTGTTTGACATGGAAAAAAGGCCTTAATTGATGATTTAAGTTGTTTACGAAGAAAAACACCTTAAATGATCTTTTAAGCCATTTGTAAACAGAAACGCCTTAAATGATCCAATTTATATATTATAAAAGATGATCATTTAAGGTGTTTGTGTATAAAAACACTTTAAATGATTGATAAATTAAGGTGTTATAGAAAAATAAAAGGATCATTGTTCAAAAAAACCTTAAATAATCATTTTTTTAATAAAAGATCATTTAAGGGTTTTGTGAACATAAATGCCATCCAATTTATATATATTATAAAAGTGGATCATTTAAGATGAACAGAAATGTCTTAAATGATTTTTTTTTTAATAAAAGATTGTGAATAGAAATGTCATCCAATTTATATATTATAAAAGTGAATAATTTAAGGTGTTTTTGTATACAAATACCTTAATTGATCAGTTATAGAAAAATAAAAAGATTATTTAAGTCGATAATGTTTTGAAACACCTTAATTGATAATATTTTATAAATAAAAATTACAATCAATTAAAATATTTATTTATTTTTGCTACTAAATGCATCATTTGTTGTTTGGGTATTTATTATTAATAAAACAAATGAAAAGTTGTCATCATGTATATCAATGAGATTATAATAATTATATAAAAATTGATATATGTAGATTCTTCCCAACCAAATAAATGAATTTATATATGAAATGATCTGAAAATGAAAAAAAAAAATTTAGATATCGCACTTTCTCAAGAATCATACTTATTATCGAAATCTATGATTCTACAAATCAAATACCTCCTAAAAATCAAGACACAACATATCCACATATCTGTAACAACTAAACCTAAATAAACCAAACAATATAATAATTTTTAATTCAACAACCATTATCAAATTTTTTGGAAAAAAATCAAATAAAAAACTTCACAAAAATCAAATTCCACTATAAAAACTAAAAACTTAGTATCATTCAACCCCAATTTTTATATAATTTATAGATAATAAAAATATATTTTTTAGTTTTTATATTTTAAATATTTAAAAATTAAAGAAAAATTAACAAATGAAAAAAGTCACATGTCAAGTGAATAACTTATCATATGTCAACAAATCAAGGCCCAAAATCTTAATTTTATAGAGTAGTTTACTTGCAATTATATTTTTATTTTAATTTTGTAATTATTCAATCATAATAAAAAATTATATAAAGATCTATCATTTATAAGTGTAGATTCTCTATAATATTTTAATAAATTTACATAATTTAAAATTCACACTGATTAATTGTGTTGTAATTATTGTAAATGACAGATTAGAAAATAAAAATGCATTGAATTTTTAAAAAGCGATAAACATGCCACATGTCAAGCTCCGGTCAATTGGCATGCAAATAAAATAATTTTGGAAAAAGTATAATAAGGGTTTTATTGTAATTTTACATGTAATTATCTTTTAATGCAGCTACAGATTTGAGAAATTTTTATTAAAAAGAGAAAAATAGAGGATTGGAATCTTGAATTTCACTCTTCTTAGATAGGATAACAATTGTTAGTTCATTTATCAATTGTTAATCGGATTTCATCTTTTCATTGTATTGTCAAAATATAAATTGAAGTGCAAAATAAGTTTCATGCGTCAATAATGGAGAAAAAAAATACTATTGAAATAAAATTTCAAAACAACGAATGAGTTTAATTATTTTTAATTTTCCATATAGCAAAAGTAAACTCTTATATGAATTTGAGATTTAATTAAATTAATTTAGACAATCATTTTTAAAAGATTATATTCAATAAATTTAAAATTTAACATATATAATCTATTTTTTATCCATTAATTACTATTTTTTATTAAAAATAAATTCTTTTAATTCATATTTAAAAAAAAAAAAAACTTTGAGCAGTATGTACATTTTTTTAGAGGAGAGGTGATTTTTAGCAACGATTTTTTTTTTACTGTAAAACTTTTTTGGACGTTGACTGAACAGTAGACTGATCATGTGCTAAAATCTCTGCTGCTGCTGCCTGCTGTTGCTTGCAGTGTAAATTCACGTGGAGAAGATAAAGTTAGCTTCTATTGCTGTGAGAGGTCCTGTCCCATTTCAGAAACGTGTTAAATTGGTCTCCAATAGGATCACATCTGTTTCAGGTACAATCTTGAACAAAGGCATGGCCGACAAATTTACTTTGGACCTGAAAATCGGATAAGATCATAAATTTTCGCCTTTTTCAAAGTTATTTTTAAAATTTTTTTGGGACAGCTAAAATTCATTGTAAAAAATGGATCATATCACAATTTTTAAAAATTTTTAATATTAAAGATGTAAACAAGTCATGCTATACGTTAGCTTGTCTTTGTTTATTATAAATTGAACTTTGAATCTTGTGTTTTCAAATCCAATCAGACACGAAATTAGTAGTGGATCGACTTTGACTCCACTTAATTACATCCGTTGGAGTATGAATGGAATTTATTGACTGATCTTAACATGTTGCTTTCGACCTGTACTTGTTCTGTTATTCAAACCTTGTGGCCTAAAAGGCTTAACAGCCCGACGTCATTGACTTATTGGGCTAAGCGCCCACTTACAAGTTCAGTTATAGACTGATTGAGCCTTGTCGCTCCAATTTGTAGTTGTCTAGTGAAACTAGTAACAGAGCCTACTTAGGGGTAACGGTCCAGATCATCCGCGGATTGTCTGGATCGGTGTAATCTCGGGTTGCTCTTCGGAGGAATCAGAAAGAGAGAATCACACCATACCAGTGATAGTTACTTGCCCCTTAATTATAACACCTGATTACTTGTTCAAGTGCGGGGAGCACCACATCTCTCTACTTTAACATTCATGGGTGCAGAACAACTCAAAAGCTACATTTTTCCATTTTGTATGCAAAATCACTTTCTTTTTTTCTTGGTTCCACTTATCAGGGTGGAAATACAAGGGCTCACAGTTCCTTGCAAACACTCAACTATTCTTCTGATGTTCACTATTGATGATACATGAACACGATACATAACAACGGAAACAACTAAATATATTTATTTATAAATTTGAAGATGCACAAAATGGTAATAGATAACAAATAAATTAAACAATTGGAGGGAACTTGCGACCAAAGGTTTGAAGCTAACCTTGATCTAACATAACTAATGCATTATGACCTATATCTATATAATCTTAGGCACTGGTAAGATGATGAAAAATTGATTGGGTTAATAAAATGTTCATGGTAGTAATATAAAACAAAGGAATGCAAAATTCTAACCCATCCTAGTTTGTTGGATGGGAAATAAAAATCATGTATCAATCTGGAAAGGTCAAGTTTTGAGTTTGGGCAATGAAAGACTGACTGGATTAAACGCCATATATGCATTAGACCTGAGCCTGAATCTTCAATGTAGGTATTTTGTGCATATGGAGATCGATGTTTTCATGAGACATTGCCCCAAGAATTCATCAGCCATGCCGAATCAAAAAATGTCTTTCATATGCAGATGGGAGAAGGCCCAGAATGCTCCTATTTTAAGCCCTTTCACTTCACTTCTATCTCAATGACTTCCTTTTCATTGTTCTTTCCCTCTGTATTGTTTTGCATTTCAAGTAAATTCTGTTGTTCCTCGCTCTCTTTTACTGTAACTTCATTAACAGCTTTGAGCTTATTGCTTGTAGACTGTTGATACATAATCCCACCTAACATACAAATCAAGAGCCCCACGGTCCCCACAAAAGTGGAATGCTTGTCCCAAATAGCCAAATTAATCACAACTGTCAATAGCTTGTTAACTATACCAAGAACAGTGAACCCTGTAGCAGAAATTGCCCTTCGACAAGAGAACCCAAAGAAAGAGATGGCCAAACCAAATAAACACGATAAACCCACAGGCAAAATCACTTGAAAAGAGTACCAATCAGACTCTTCTGAGATTTCATGCTTTATTTTCTTCAACTCCCCCATTATTAGTAGCTCAAGAGGAAACAAAAGGAGAGCCTCAAGATTATTGTACAGTACAAGACCCCACGTATTTAGACCAATAGTCATTACCACATGCTTTATGTAAACAAAATCTATAGACATGCTTACCAGGTATGCAACAGCCCAAGTATAGGCAGTTAATGTGAACTGGTAATCAGTAAGAACATAAAGCACACTGCCACCAAAGATGGTGCCTAACGAGATCCATGTCTTCATCGAAGGCCATGGCTGGTGCAAGAAAAGGGTCTCTCCTATTGCAACAAACATAGGAACTGCTGAACGGAAGACAATGAAAGTGTCAACATTAGCATGTAGGAGGAGCTCACTGTTGGTGAAGAGAGAGAGGTAAAATATAATGGCTGCAGGTAGGAACCGCCACATAGTCAGAAGGTCAATTGGATCATGCTCTATGACCTTGAACCATCCACAGAGGCATACACCAGCTGCACTTGTCAGGTACTGCAAAGCAGTTAGAGCCCCCGGATAAGGAAATTTCATGACAGCCCATTTGTTGATGATGGAGAGAAGAGACGCTGAGATGCAGTATCCTGCCGCTATTCCATAGACAGATACTTGCTTAAGCAAACAACTATACCATATTACTTGGGCTTCACCAGAGAGAGCAGAGGTTTCAGGAACTTTAACTAGACGACCCTCCACATCTGTAGACATCTAAAACAAAAAAATACAATTTATTACAAGGTTTAGCTATTAGCAAGTGTGTATTGTGTGCACATGCATTTGCCAGGCCCTGTATATATATACAACCACACCAGATAACTCCATCCTTTGCTGACTGAACACCTGCTGCAGAGACAGGGAGAAAACTTTTCATTGAACATTCAAAAGTTGACTACAATTAGGCAAAAAAAAAAAAAAATTAAAGAATTTAGCAGATACATGATACCATAATTAACATCTTGGCTGCAAGATTAAGATGCACAAAATGTGATATTTTTCTACAGTTGAGGTGTAAAATCAACATAAATAAAATATTAGTTTTATTTTATAAGGAAACACTGGAGTAGAAAGGAATGATATCAACATGTTGAGCACCTATTTTATGTTCTAAAATAACAATCAGACTCATCCACAACCAAACAAATCTGTTCTGTTGATAAAATAAATACATAAAATATCTTTTTAGATTGATACCAATCTACAGAAGGAACTGCCATCCAGTGCAACAGTAGAACTCTTGAGCTGACAAGAGTAGCAACAGAAGCTCAAGTTATGGGAATCACCATTTAATACAAAAATGTTACATAATAGGAGACGAACATGATTTATTATCCTCCTTACAGTTAATGTCGTTATCATTGAGACTATGAACAAAGCAAAAAACAAGAAAATGATAGAATGCATCAAATTTGGAAACAGGCACTAAGAAAGTGATAATGATCTAAAGTTAACTGATTTTTTAGATTTAAAGTCCAAGATAAATAGCCAGAACCGAAGAAAATGCCAACCCTGAAGCAAACTAAGGTTCCCCAAGTGCATTGATTAGAAATAGCACTCAGTTGACTCACCACTATATTCAGAAACAAACAAAAGGACACCCAATTTGGATTAGTTTTCGCAATGTTGAACTTCAACCAACCCTCTAGGTAGTATAATTGCAAACAAAGGATATATTACTCCTAACTCATGCAGCCTCCTACTGATAAACCTAGGAATGGCAACAGATAGGGTACCCGCTATTTTTGGGGTACCCATACCCAAACCCAATTTTGTTTCATAATACCCAAACCCGATGACCACCCAAGTAATTTTTTAATCTCGCTACCCGAATCCTACCGGAATTAGATAAGCAACACCTACTAAATACCTAAACTTGGTAAATACCTGATTTTTCCTCAATGGCATTGGTTTTTCAACAAAAAGAATAAACAGATCAAAAAAGTTAATAAATCGAACTCTTCAATAAAACGCATCTTAATCTTTCAAAGTTCAAATAGAATATAAAAATTAAAAGAAATAATTGAAGCGAATAAGAATTATTTTCAAGTTAACAAAGAAGAAATAAAAGAAACAAAAAATAAAATAAAATAAAACCTGAAGCAAAGAACCAAGCACAAATTAGACTTAGGGCTAATTGTTTAGGTTGTTTACTCGTTTTTCAGAAAAGAGATTTGGGGAGTTAGACTTAGGGCTTTATGACCAAATAGTTTTGCTTTTTATTTTAGTTATGTTGAAGAAATCACACCCTTTTCCATGAAAAATCCACCACTTCACCAAGTTTACGAGGCGTAACACATAAGGCTATTCGACAAAGGGAAAAAAGAATGCACAAATAAAATGTGGATTTATTTGGAAAAAGAAAGATAGTAAAATTTCTTCAAAAGAAATTTCTTTTTCCTTGCATTTTTCATCAAAAGAAAACAAATCTGAGAGTAGAAAAACAACATATTTGCTTAAGATTATGGGGCTGGAAACCCAGGATAATAATTGACAAAAAATAACAAACTCCCCCCCCCCCCCACACACACAAAACAAAAACAGGGAAAGATAAAAAAAAAACCCAGATGGAAATGTGCAAATTTAGAACAAGAATTGAAGTGAAAAAGATGGGGAAAAGCCCCAGGCAGATGCAGTCCCTAAATGAAACGGAAAGAAAATTCCATTTTCAGATCAGTGGAAGAAAGAAATGAAAACGGAAATAGAAATTTAAGAAATAGAATATTTACCAGGCTCGATTGGAAATCTTCAATTCTCTGAGTAGATCTTCAAGTGGCCTTTTTGACAGTGAGCTGCCGCTTGCCACTTGCGGAACGGTTCCTTGCTTGTTTTGGTTTTTTTCGTTTCACTCTTTTTCAGTATTATAAATAGTAGCGAAAATTTATTAAAAAAATTACGAATAAAAGATCAAATTTGCCGTCCTATTAATTGGGTTTTTATATTTGTCATTCTATTTTTTTTTTATAATTTTATAATTTTATTATAAATTTTGATGCAATTTTAATTACTTATGGATAAAAAAATAAAGTAATGTTAATCTTAATGTCAAAAACTAACGCGGCTATTTCAAATTAGAAAAAAATAACCAAGTGGATGAGGAGTTGCAATTAAAAAAATAACATGACAAATTACTTGAAAGGAAAAATTATCATTAAATAAAAAATTAAACTAATTTTAATAAAAAAAAAAAACCCAAAAGAGAGATCAATTCTCTTATCACTATGAAATTCTTGCCCCTCTATTGTTATCGCTTTAGGTGAGTCGACAAATAAAAAAAAAATGTTGCAAAATTTTGAAAAACATATTATTTTTATTTTATTTATTTCTCTTACTTACGGCCTTTAACATGCAAATGGGATATTGGCATTTGAAAAATAATTTTGGTATAAGTATATAATATGGGTTTATGTTTTTTTTAAGGACTTTTGGGTAAAGAAATTAAAGTAATAGATAATGGCAGTTAAGTAGTATATATCTTGTTGGCATTTTATGCTTTTGCTCTTCTACTTTATTAATTATCAGCTTACAATGTTTTTTTTACAATGTAAGAGGGTTAGTACTCTGTTTGGTTCGATTTTTCCTTGTAAAATCAAAAAAATAGAGATGATGCATGTTAAGATGATAGTCTTAGGAGGGAGGAATATGAGTTTGATAAGCAAAGCATATTGGGGAAAAAAAAAGGGGCAACGATAGCCTTAAGAGGGAGGGATATGAGTTCGATAGGAAAAACATATTTGGGGAAGAAAACAGAAGATAATGGATTATTATTTTAATATAAATTAATTAATTTTTTCTATATTTATATTTTTGGTGGCATTTTTTAAAAATAAATGAAACACATATTTTTATGTCACAATGATATAAAAGAAAAAAAAGATAAAAGGATAAAAAACTCTTTAAAAAAATTCAATAATCATTTAAATGCTAATATTTTATTACAATTAATCAAGTCTTAAATTTTTTTATTTTAGATCAACTTAATCCTTAAATATCTATTTTCATTTAATTGAACCATTAAACATTTATTTTCATCTCAATTGGGCTCTTAATTTGACAAAAATAAGTTTTGACAATTAATTAATTTTCATCTAAGAAGGTCTCAATTGAAAAAAATAGATATTTGAGAATTTAATTTATTGTAATAAAATTATAAAAACTTTGATGATTATTAAACTATTATTCGAGAGTTTTTTATCCTTTTACCAAAAAAAAAAATTTGGGATGAGAATATTATATTCATATAATCAATTGAATAATAAACTATTATATCATAATTAAGTTACAATAAGTAATAATCAATCAACAAATTAAAATATAATTAAATAATTAAATTAACACACAATAACTTAAACCTAAAACTTCAATATTAAAAATTATAGTATGATTTTTTTGGGGCCAAGAGTATTATGGTTGACTATACTCGTATTAAAAATAGTTAAAATATTAGTGAACTAATTAAGTATTGGGTACAGAACTATAATTAAACAATGTATTTAAAATTTACAAATTTGCAATTAGATTTTCAAGTTTCGTTTTCGTCAATTGTTTAACACAAAATTAACATTGTTAATTAAATGAACATGTGTTTAAAACTTATCCAAAAAAACATATGTTTAAAACTAACCATAAACAGAAAAAAATGAATATGTATTTAAAATTAACCAATAAAAATATATAAAAAAAATACTTCGTAAACCTATCATGTGCCACAATTTATATTAGTAGATATCTTGAACAAATTGCTGATTTAGTAAGTAATGGAAGTCTAGAGTGTAAATAGATAAAAAGAAACAAAATTAATGTTGCTATATGTAACAAAATTTAATTGGAATACGTAAATACAAATTTTTTAACTTTAGAACATTGTCACAAAATTAAAAAAAAAAATCACTTTATCTAGAACTATCACTAAGCAAAAATTAGCATTTTATATTTCAATATTAAAATTAAAGGTTAATATTATGAATGATTCTTAAATTATAGTAAAATATTTAATTTTATATCTAAATTTTAAAAATCTCTAATATAGTATCTAAATTGTGAATCTGTTAATTAATATGATACATAAAGAATTGTTTATCTATCACATTTTATTATTTGTAGCTAATTATGTTAGAGGTAAGTATTACATTAATTAAAAGATTTATAATTTAGGTATTACATTAAAATATTTTAACATTCAAGTTTATATTAAATATTTTACTATAATTAAGAATCATTTATAATATTAACCTTAAAATTAATAAGTTATTTTAAAAGGTCCAAATGATAGTTGTTAGAGCCAGGAAAACTCCACATTACAGCCGATTTTGGTATTTTTTGGGCAAAAGGGTTAAAAAAATCTTTAGAATAAAAAATCGATAATTATTTAAGTTTTTGACATGTTATTGCAATAAATTAAGTCTTGAAATTTTTATTTTGAATCAATTGAAAATTTAAACATATATTTTTATCTAATTATTGAGCCATTAAATATCTATTTTTACTCCAATTATGTCTTCGATTTGACAAAAATGAATATCAACAATTACTTAATTTTCGTCTAATTAGGATTCAATCGATGAAAATTAAAAATAAATGTTTGAAAATTTAATTGATTGTAATAAAATGATATAACTTGGATGGTTATTGAATTTTTATTTGAGGAATTTTTTTATCATTTTACCTTTTTTTTTTAAAATTACATATCCCACAAAAGAGTTAATAAGTAAAAATTTAATTATGTATGAGATATTGAATTTATAACTATTTTTAGGTTGAAAATTGAAGATCAAGTTTGTTTCCCAAGGTTATGGAAGAAAAACACTTTGCTTCCAACGCTTTGCTTGATTATTAAATACCCAACAAATCATTGAAAAATCTATCACATAAAGAAGAAAAAAATTTAAAAGTTTGTAAACACATAATTTTGTTCGAATTGATCAAAATTAATCCGAATTGCATTCGTATTTAATTTAAATTCAATCAAAAATTTTGATCACATTTATTATATTGGGTTCAAATATTTTTATTATTACATATTAATATTATTTTATTTATTAATTATATAAAAAAAAGTTTAAAAAAAAGCAAGAAAGTAAAATAAAGAAAAAGAAAAAGGAAGCAGAAAATTTTCAAAAAAACTTTTATCAGTAGAATTCAAGCAATTCAATTGATGAATTTTTCTAATCGCCCATCCTATTAGTACCTAACTTGGCAATACAAAAATTACCCCTAAAGTCTTTTCCAAATCCTAGAAATTCTGGGATTTAATCCCAGGTTAGCTCTTTGCTTAAATGGAAAGACAAAAAAAAAAAAAAATACAATCCTTAAAACGAGAACCACAACGCTAGAAACAAAAATCACAAAACTCAATCTTCTGTAAAACTTTTTTTCAATCTCTGAAACACACAAAATTTTTTTTTTCAACTCCAAATGAAAACCACAGCTAACCAAGCAGTAGGTATTTGGTAGATCCGAACGGTGAAAGACAGATCATGAAAAAGAGATGAATATATTAAATTCTCAACATGATCATATGGCAGTGGGGTGGTTTTCTAGTGGCTTAAATTTTCAAACCAAAATTTAGATCTAGGATCCTATAGAGGCTTTTTGGAAAATCCCAATGGTGGAAATCAAGTGAAATGTGAGAGGAATACTCAATGAAGTTTTGGTGGTCACCAGAGGTGACCTCGATGATATATCTGAGTTTTTTCTATTTTAGCTTTTCTTAATTTTTAGGCACAAATAAAGCTTTTTTGGGAAAATCTAAGTTGTTAGATCAAAAGAAAAGGCGGAGAAAAACGTTCTGACATTTTTTTTGAATTTTTTGGTACTAGTGACCTACGATCGACGACGACATTATTAACAATTCCAGTAGCTGAAAGTTAGGAGGAGAGAGAAAGAAGAGAATAAGAGAATAAGAAGAAGATGAAAAATTTAGTGTTTTAGGGCTATTTATAATAAAATAAAAAAGATGTTTTAATTAAAGTTGTAACCAAGTTATCAAGCTGAGCTAGGAACCAAGCCAAGCCATGTTTTTGAACAAACTGATCAAGCTGTTGACTATGGATTTAAGCTGGTTGACTGAGCCGTTTGAGTCACCCCTTGGACCTTTAACTAGAGTTGATTAGAGGCATTTTAGGTATTTTAGTCATAATTTTTAATTTTTATTTTTTGTTCTATTTTTTATATTTCTATTATAAATAGTAGAAAATATAAAATATCTTTTATTGAAATTCATTTAAAATAATTGCTAAAAAATAAACTTAGGAAAATTTGAAAATTTTATTTTCTCTTAAATAATTTGAAAAAATAAAATGAAATAATAATAATAAAAATTTTAGTAAACAAGAATAAAGAAAAATATAATAAATAATAAATAAAATGATAAAATAACAATAAAATCACAAGTGGTGATTTTATTTGACATGTTTACACAAAGAAATTTTCTAAAATATTCTAAAAGTGTTAAAAATATTTTAAAATTTTTCAGGTATAAAAAAATAGTATTAATTAAAAATAAAATCACAAGTAGTGATTTTTCATACAAGGAAAAATTTTAAAATATGCCAAAAGTGTTGAAAATATTTTTAGAATTTTTCATAAAAATAATAATAACCATATTCAATACAAATTAATAGAAAAAATTAAATAAATGCATAAAGAAAAGAATAATAAATATAGCAATAAAATCACAAGTAGTGATTATTTAAAAAGTATTTTTCAAAAATTTGTAGAAATGTTAGTAAGATTTTTGAAAATCTTTTCCAAAAAAAATTATTAAAATACTTAAATTGTCAAAGTAAGTAAAATTTTGCGAGAATAAAAGTCACGAGT